TGTTGGTTTTTGGATATATGAATGGTGTGAACTTATATGTTTGGTTTGTTTTATTCATTTTTGCATCATTTACATTATCATTAGCAATATGACCAATTTTGCCATATCACATTATTTATGAATATTGATTTATGAAACTAATGGCTAACCTCTCTTTTGATTATGATCTTAGCAGCTTAAGCTTATAATTAATAAATCAATTGTCTAAATGATTTACAAAACCTTGTTTTACAATGACTTTTTGATTTAACAAAAAGGGGGAGAAGAATAAGTGTTAAAGTAAGGGGGGGTAATTTCTAATTTCAAAACTTGATTTCAAAAATCTTAAAATTACTAAAATGTTTTGTTATATCAAAAGGGGGAGATTGTTGAAACATTTTAATATTTCGATATAACAAATTAAGTTAAATGGATTTTAAGATTTTCCAAATGATTTTCTAAGTATATTCGATATAACTATTCGAATATCAAACATTACTCCAAATATTTCAAAATCATTTTTGATCCTTACTTAAGTGTAAAATTAAGTTTTAATCATAAAACAATTTCAAAATATTTACAAGTATTTCGAACCAATTCAAAGCCAAAAATTCCAGAATACTCAGAGGGAACCGATTCCCCCCCATAGGAGGAACCGATTCCCCCCTGAATGGTTTGGCTCCGAGATTTCCAGAATGCTCGGAGGGAAACCGATTCCCCCCAAGGGGGTACCGATTCCCCCTGTTCAACGGTCGAAATATTTGAATTTTACACTTAGGGAACCGATTCCCTATGATAGGGAACCGATTCCCCCCACTGTCCAAGCTGTTTTATTAAATGTTTTCACACTAAAACGGCTATAATATCTTCTCTAATTATCCCCAACGTTCAGAAGTGATTCAAGGTGTATTTAAGCAAGCTTAGAAGCCATTGATCAAGAACAAGAAACATCAAGCAACTAGAATCAAGAGAGAATCAAAGAGAAAGCATCAAACCTCAAGTTTTAGCATTTCAAGCCCATTTTCATTCAATATTCATTTTGCTTTCAAGAACACTTTTTGTGCTCAATTGTATTCATCTTTGAGTGTTCTTTTCTTTGTTCTAGAATTGTGCAAACATCTTACCTTGTGAGGTTTTCTTGTAAGTTTGCAAATTTGTAATCTTCTCTTTGAGAAAAGAGTGTTCTCAAGAGTTGGGGTATACTCTTGAGGGAATTGTAAGGTTATCTCTTTGGCCTCAAAAGAAAGAACAAATTAGTGAATTTGTTGGAAAATCCTTAGTGTGGATAGCTAAGGTAGTGGACGTAGACTTTGTTTGAGAAAGTCGAACCACTGTAAATCGCTGTGCAATTGCTTTCAATTTTCTGCAAAAGCTTCCACAAAATTTTTATTGCCAATTCACCCCCCTCTTGGCCAATTTCGTCATTCGATTAACTCAACACCATGCGGAGGTGAAAACCACACGAGGGCATAGTCTCTCACTCCTACTTAATTTGGACGGAGCGGGGTTTTAGCTCATGTCATGAAAATGCTGCTGTGCAGTGTGTGAGGAAAAGCGAAAAACAAACAATAAAAACACTGAAAATCAAATCCCAAAACACACAATTATTCTGAAACCATTAGCAAACAGATCAGTACAACTATTTAATTGTTAATCGAATTAAATTAAAAAACCAAAATACAAACAAAACTTATTAAAATCCAAACAAGGGATCAAAAACCAAATTAAAATGAATTTATAACTTTCAATTGCAAAGACAATTAATTAATCGACTATCGGCCTGACTCTCTAAAAAAAAAGTTCCCCAGCAGAGTCGCCAAGCTGTCGAAACGATTTTTCCTTAAAGGTGAGATTTTGAAAACCACATTAATTCTTAATTATCCTCTTTTTAATTTAAAAACAAACGCAATTTAAAAGACCTCTCGTTTCGAAAAATTTTAGATTTCCTTTACGATCGAAAAATACGGTTTGAAGAGTCGCCACCAATCTTTGATTAGGGTGTGATTGGGCACCCAAAAATGCTTTGTCATTTTAAATAAAAATTAATTTTAATTAAAACAACAAATTAAGGTATGCGTTACCAAAAATTGAGTCCGGGAGTCGGTTACGTGTGGGGAAGGATTAGCACCCCCACAACGCCCTAAATCGGTACCTAGTCGATTAATTAACGTCTTTGCATTGATCTTTACAAATTTGAATTTATTTTGATTTTTGATCCCATAAAAAAATGTAAATTTAAAACGTTCAAAAACACTCAAGTAAATTAAATTAAAATTACCAAGTCATTTTAGAAAGATAAAGAATTTTCGATTATTTACAAATATCGAGACCAGATCTTAAAGATATAACAACCTTTTCTCGATATATTTAAATAAACGAACATTTCTTTTTCTCTCGTTCCCAAATTTTAGGTAATGAATCAATTTTTTTGGTTTCACTTTCGGGATACACTTTTATTTTAAAATCATTAAAAGCGGACCTCAAATCAGTTATGACTGCCCACTTAAAACAATTTTAAATTTAAAAGTATATTACCCTTAATCCAATATATACTAACGTCAAGTTATGCAAATGAGGATATCATGCAAATTATGCAAAAGGTGGATGTCATGCAAAATTAATTAAACAAAATTAAAAATATCATACAACGTGACATACAAAAAATATATATGTATATTTTGATTAAAAAAAAATCATAAAACATGCATATTAACATATAATGTACAAGTGTGACTCAAATACAAAAAATAAAAATGGAATACTAAACTATAAATTTTAAAAAATATATACATCATATTAAAGCAATGACTAAATTTAAACACACGTAAAATTAAACATACTGACTAAAAATCAAAACAGAGACTTAAATAAACGAATATAAATATAAGGAACTTAAACTTAAATAATTCAAAATAGTAACCAAAACAAAAACTAGAAAATAACTAAGTTAAGACATAAAAAAAAAAATCAAGCCCTAAAGGTGACTAAATTACAAAAACGTTAAACTTAGAATCTAAAGATAGTTTACATCTAAGTTACAATGGCTAAACACTAATTAATCCTAAAATGTTAATATAAAACCTAAGTAAAACTTAAACCTAAGCTAAACTAAATTGAACTCTGCGCTCCTCACGTTTCCTCTTCATTATCCCTTTCTTCTCCGATTGTTCTTCTTCACCAACCTCACGACCACCGCTCAACGGTGACTACACTAAACCCCGACCACTATTGGACTGTTAACCGAAGCCAAACGACCATTGTTATTCTCTATTGTTCGAGTCTCTCCACCTCGGCGACTTCAACTCCGGCGACCATCTCTTCAACTAGGTAAATTGACTCCTCTCATACATGGCCAATATTTTAACAACCCTAGAAACGAACCTACCCCAACCCTAAACTTATTCTAAACCTAATCCTTAGCTACTGCCCTCTATCTCCTCATCACCTTGGTCGAGCCCTCAAGACCTCCATGATCGTCGAATAAATACATATCCAACGATTCTAAACCAACACTTACAACGCTTTTTAACCACTACCATAGCCACCAACGACTCTTAATGGTTTAACTACTTCCGATGGAGACTAAGCATGCTATCAAAAAAGCTTAATTATACTGAAACGGAGGAAATGGCGGTAATTTTGGAAGAAGAAACACTGGACACAACTGTGATGGCAGAGACAGTGAGCATGGAGCGATGACTGAAGACCTTAAATTCAGGTTTATGGTAAGGCTTTAGCTTCTAAAATTGTGATTAGCAAACATTGTTATAGTTAGTACTTTGATTCGATGTTGGTTCTATGGTTCTCTGTTATTGCTATCGGGTTGTTTAGATTCTACCATCTTGTTTTTTTATTCTCTATTTATTTTCATTGTGAAATCTATTAAAACCAATAAAATATGCAACTATAAGTAATCATGAAGGGAAAATCTTACACGTATTGGATTTGCTTGGTATTGCTTTGAAAGAGAAAGAGCATTTTGTTTGTAGTAATCTTCGAATTGGAGGAAAAAAAACTCTTTTACACGCTGTTTTTTTTTCGAATCAGATAACAGAACCCTCTACACTGTTTTTCTTTTGTTATTCTATTGTGTAAAGAAAAAAAATGAAGAAGCCCTACTCTTTTCGTGCTTTTCTTTCCTTTTCTCTCCTGTGTAAAACTCTCTCTTTTCTCTGCCTGTTGATCCTGTCCTCTCTTCTCAAAATGCTTTTCTTTTAAATTTTTCGTTGGTCTCCTCCTTTTCAGTGGTTAATCCCCTCTAAAAAAAACTGACCCTTTCTTTAGTGGTTAACTAAAAATTAAAACCACCATTTACAGTTTCTAGTGGTTAATTCATGATAACTATTTTTTGGTTTTCCAGGGCTTCACGTGAGCTGCTCTACCGGGTCATTGGTTTGGGCCTCCAATTGCTCTGCTTCGGGTCTACTCTGTCCTAGCCCTGGACAAAAACGAGCATCTACAAACAGCAGGTAAATTCTAAGCTTAATTCTTCTTCTCTAGGTTAATCTCTCTGCTAATCTAGATCTGTAATTAGTTGAAATGAGCATTGCTTTTTTTTGTTTTTCAAACTTTTAAATCTGTAAGATAGTGACATTTCTGGATGAGTGACAATGAAGGACAAATTATTTGTTGGGTTACACTTCTTCCGACACAGAATTGAGTGGAAATGTAAACAAGAACTCGCGGAAAATCTGATAGTAGTTCTCATGCAAATAAACTCATCACGGTAGAACTACCTTATGTACAATTCTCTTCAAAGTAGTCCTTTTTTAGGAACTTAATGTTGCTGGGTTAACTCTCAAAGTGCAAGTAACATGGATAAATTAATAATATCAATCAATACAAAGATGTTAAATGCTATTTGGTCAAACTCTTATTCTTTGTTGGTTTTCTCCCCCTGAATGAATGAAAGATATTGAAGACAATTGAAATTGTAACCATTCTCTTCTTGATGTCTGTGATGGTCATAGCTGTTCCTCCTTTGAGTTTAGTGATAACTTATGCGCATACATTTTCATAAACAGAAAAGCTGGTTGACGAACGAAGAAAGTTCGATGCAGTGATTGCTTTAGAGGTATGCACTCTCTGGACGACAACTACGTCTCTCACTCTTCTCTCCCTTAATCAATATCGTAAATCTGTGTCTATTTTCCACCCTTTCAATTTTACGTAGGTGATTGAGCACGTGGCAGATCCTGCTGAATTCTGCAAATCTCTCTCAGCTTTAACTGCTCATGAAGGAGCTACCGTGGTTTCAACAATTAACCGCTCTATGAGATCATATGCAACTGCCATCATTGCTGCAGAGTACCTGCTACGTGGGTATGATTTTGCCTGTCTTTTAAGTACAACTTATTTTTTCAACTTCGATGCGTAATTATGTATCTGTTCTAAGATTTGTTTTGTTCATTTGAGGTCGCTGTTTACGAATATGTTCATAATATGCCTCTTGATTCTATGCAGCTTCCTAAAGGCACGCATCAATGGTCAAGTTTCCTCACCCCAGAAGAACTCACCATGATTTTAAGGCGTGCTTCGATCGACGTAAGTAAAACAGATCAGTCCGTTTGATACCTGAAATTGAACTCTTTCGTTGAATTATGATTTTTAAAGCATGCTCTGTATGGTTGGATGTATAGGTAAGAGAGATGGCCGGATTTGCGTTCAACCCGATAACAGGGAGATGGTCTCTATCAGATGATATTAGGGTGCGTTTGGTTCACGGAATGTAAGATTACCAGTGGGAATAAAAGATTACCAGGGAATAGGATTACTGGGAATGTTGTATTTTGTGTTTGGTTGGTTTAGCAGGAATGTAAGATTACCGTGTTTGGTCAAAGGAATAAAAGATTATTGGAATGTATATTTGACCAATTGTCCTTATTATATATTTGTATAATATTACAAATTGTAAATATTTATATTTTCTTTAAAAATTAAATTCATAATATTTATATAATTTTTTTACAAAATTAAAAATATAAAAAATGTTTAATGAAAGGGTAAAAAAAATTTAACCCCTAAACTTCATATAAAATTTTAATTATAGACTTTTTTTGTAAATCTAAAATAATTTAAGGATAAATTTGTAATTTAACATTCGTAGAATTTTTATTATTCAATGACAGAAGAAGGATATTTTTGAAAAAAAATAAAAATTTAAGGGCATTTTAGTCCAAAACGCCGGTAATGTTACAATACCTAAGGGAAGGGAGGTAATGACATTCCCGGTAATATACCCCAAAAAATCTACTATTGGTAATAAAATATTACCGGGAATGAGATTCCCAGTCAACCAAACATGGGAATGTGGGATTCCCATCCCATGGGAATCCCACATTCCTTGAACCAAACACCCCCTTAGTGTAAATTTTATAGCGTTTGGTACTAAAGAAACTAATGAAGAAAAGGGTTGTTATGGTGTGAGACAAATTACATTAGATTTTGCTTGGGGATAAAACAAATTTTCTAATATTTAATTATCAGTTGTATCTATGAACGTCATATTTAAATAATTTGGAGGGAAATAATATATATATTTTTCCACATAGCTAGTTATAAGGGAAAGAATTATTCAAGTTTGATGACAGTAACATTATATCAAATAATAATCTTTTATTTTAAAATATACTTGGAAAAAAAACACTTACCATTTGAACAAACCTTGTACAATTATTTTTAGAGACCAACTTTGAACGTTTCAGGCAAATTCTTTGAATAATAATTAGGATAAACTACATATTTAATCACCAAATTATTATTTTGATTTTCATTTTGGTCACCCAACTATTTCTTTTTAAATCATCACTAACGTTATGTTTGATTTTATTTTAGTCACCCGTCATTAAAAATCAATAAAATTGCTGATACGATATTTTTTATTTTTTTCAAAGATGACATGATATTACCTTATGGTGACATATCAGCATCACCGTTAATTTTTAACAACACATGACTAAAATGAAACTAAAACATAACATTAGTGATGATTTTAAAGAAAAAATGGCTGGGTAATCAAAACAAAACCAAATGATTATGTAGTTTACCCTAATGAATATTATGAAGTCTATATGCATCAATTTCAAATCCACGAAGGACAGTATATGTAATTAAATTTGAATCCGCAAAAAAAAAAACGTACCCATTCAAGAGCAATAAAATTGCAAGTCAAAGTCCCAGAATCAGTAATAATAACATTCACACAACTCTGTAATCCCCTGTAATCAACTTTGTCCTCTGAGAGAACTTGGGAGCAGCTCCACCTCTCAAAGGAATAATGTTCACAACCTGCACCAATATTTCTCTTTAACTACTAATATATTACTAAAACATTCGATCCAACGGCAAGTTAAAATCGACAACAGAATTAAAAAAAGTAAAATGGCATATCATACCTTCAGGTCACTGTATGTACTGGTGGCTAAAAATCCGACAGAAATGGGGAAGAAAGCTGATGAGTCAGCAGGAGGCACCACAAACTCCATAGATCCACTGCAAATATGTCACTTATAAATCAGTACCATATTGAGAAGATTTAACAATTGATGAAGCTTTGCAGTGTTGGGAAAAATGAACAGACCTGCGGTTAGAATTATCAATGAGAAGTGTGGACCATTCTAGGACGGAATTCCTAGAGTCGTACCTACATGAAAAACAAGAAAATGTACATAAAACAACAAACTACACATCACATTTTATGTTCCACAATATTGTACTACTTTTTCACGCTATACAGCTTTTTAGTTACATATTATGAAGATAATCCAAACAGATCACAACATTTTGTTGAGCACCATCTGGAAATTATTTCTGTTTACCTCCATTCACCATCAATCTGTCTGACATTTGGTGCCTCTCTAAGAGCCGGAAGAGGTACAGAAATCACGACATTTTGCAGATCAAACATGGTTGAAGCTTCATACTCAATGCTGACATAAGTTTCATTTCCAGAAACCGAAGGCCAGCAGTTGACTGCAACACACAAAAAAACAACCATTTAAGTATACAATAGCAGTTACACACCAAGAAAAAGCAAGCACTAGGTTTGAAACCCACTGGTCAATGGCACCATTGACTCATCTGCACTTTGCATTCTCCACTTCAAAAGACCAATACCACCTTCATCCCACTTGGACCAGTGGGGAAAGGCCTATTAGGGTCCTTCAACCCCAGAATATTCTCATTGGAAAACAATTCCTTGTTCATGTTGGGTGAGTCTTGAAAAGAATTCCAGGATTACCCCCAGTTTCAATCTAAAAATAATGCACGAAAAGATAATTGGTAAATTCAAAGATGTAAAGGCAATAGGAGAAAGGTATATTGCACTTTAGGGACAACATGATTGTTACCTGAACTTGGATGAGTCCATCTTCCTGGTTAAGAATTTGAAGTGACAAGGTCCCTTCAACCGCAAAGTTACTAATTCCACCATCTCTTTTCAGAATGACATTAAGTTTCTCCTCAACAGTCAAAGTAACGGGATCAGTAAGCGGAGCTGCAACCACTCTGGACAGGCCTCCCTTTGGCTGGACATCGTCAACTATCATTCACCTTCTGCTTTCAGGGATTCCAGGAACTGGTTTGTTTTTTGTGATTTACCAGCTGCATGCCAAAACCTTTAGGAGGGGCATTGCAGATGAAGGTTGGCGGCCTAAAAATTTGAGCATGTGGTCAAAAATGTCTGAAACATTTTAAGCATGTCTAGAAAAGTGAAGCAACTTGGTTTCCTATGAAATTAAGTAAAGCAAATACAACTAATGCATTAAAAACCTGAGAAACAACTCAAAGGCATGTTGTGGGTGTGGCACATAATGTGACTAACCTTTAGGCTTGTTAGAAAAGGCATCAAGATCAGTGGTTGGTCCACCAAACCCAGAACCACCTCCAAAGCCACTTCCACTGCTAGAAATGCTCAGTTCACTGAAGCCATTTTCTATTCTTCCAGATCCCATGACATGAACCTCCTTTGTCACCTCTATTCTTATCAATCTGCAGAACACAGAAAAAATATATATAGCAGAAGAGAGATTAGTACAAGCCAAGAACATGCAATAAAACCTTGCTCTTGTCAATCTCGCTAGCTTTACGCTTCATGACATCCTTAGTTTCATTAATCTTGCTCTGCAATACCAGCTTATGCAACTTCTCTTCATGACTCTCCATCTCACAGTATTGCTTAACCTGTGCAACAGTCACATTTTCCTTGTGCCCAATAGATGACTTCATCAAAAGCAAAGATCAGTTCAAAAGCACTCTTGCCAATACCCTCCTCATCCGAGAGTAAGAATACTCAGTTACCTAAAAAAGTATAAGGAATCAAGTAAATGCTCTGTTCTACTTGGCCAAGACAAGGTATTCTAAAAAGGCTAAACATCGTAAATGCCTCAGTACAGATACAAATGTGACAAAGAATGAGAGGCTGAAATCATACAGGAAAGAAACCACTCCAGAAACAAGTAAACTTCTAACTACTCATGGTAGATCGAAGAAATAAGGAAAACATATGCAGTGCTACTACAGAATTTATGTTCAAAAATAAGACAAGAAAGAAATCAAAGAGAAGCAAAAGCATACCAGCCTGGATACAGTTAGAGTCTCCAAATCTTCAAGAATTTGCTCTGCTTGTTTGTTACAAGAAGCAAATAAGAGCTTCTATTGGCTGATAACATAACGCACATTCTCAGTCTCAACATGTGTTGCTTGCCTGTCCTACCAACTTAGGAAAAGCTGCAAGAAGACCTTCAATTCTTATCCAGTCATGTCCACAAACTGCCTGGAGAGAAGCACTGCAATAAGAACAAAAAGAGCGAGTGAGACAACTAAATCTGAACTTCCAACAATTCAATTACAATGACACAGGAAAGCAACTACAAAGAGCAAACATGAAAGTCACCTTGCCAGACTTGCTTACAATTGAAGCCGCAAGTACAACCTAACACAAATAAAGGTAAAATCAGACACTGGAATCCATACACTTAACCTTTAATAAGGAGGGAATGCATTACAAATACAAAACATAAGCAGTCCAAACTAGCAGAGCGTTCCCAACCGGAAAATACTGGAGAATACTTAAATAAGCCACAGAAGAAGAGTTCCAACAACATGATGCTAGTATAGATCGATTGATAGATGCAATAAAGCAAAAAGTGAATCATTTCAGTTCATTCAATACATATACATAACAAACAACTCAACTGAAATCAACTCAAAGGAATATTCTACTAAAAAGAAAAAAGAAAATAAGAAAAAGATCTTACCATCTTGGATATCGAGAAGCAATCAACCCGAAATATCAACTGAAGATTTTATCAGAAAACCTATTAAAAATAAAAAAATTTAGGATAAAAACGAGCAAAACTTGAACAGCGGGAATGAAGATAAAATAAAAGCAAATTATAAACTATAATGTAACAGTAAATCTGAAAACAGAAGAAAAGCATCAGAATTTCTAATCAGCAAAGAGATTGGTCACATCAGATCTGCACATCAACATGCATTTAAATTCAAGTATACTCCATTCAGACGTGTTTGAAACATAAAAAATGAAATTCGATAGAATCGAAGGGATAAAAAAACAGATCTGCAAAAAAAAAAACAGATATGATAATTTCATCCTCTATAATGTGCAATAGAGGTGGCGAAATTTAGAGATATGAGAAGGCTTACTTCGATCTAATCTGTACTCTGTATCTTCTTCACTCCCGCTGAGATCGATTCCTTGAGACCTGAAGTAGAAGAAGGTAATATTCGTTCCACTATTATGTCCGAGTTTTGGTAGACCCGATTCAGTTAAATTATTGTGTAAACTACAAATTTAGCATTTAAACTATCAGTTTGTTTGTTAAGTACCTAAACTTTCATTTGTTTTAAAATCATACCTAACCTTACTTTTTGTTTCATTTTAATACCCTACCGTTAAAAACTTAATCGAGCTATTACACAAGTGACATTTTTATATGGGTAAATAACATTTTTTTATCACTAAACTATCTTCTCACTCCTATTTTGGTCATTAAAGTTTTAAAATTTTCAATTTAACCACTAAACTTTCAAATTGCTCATATTTTAATCACTCTAATTTATATTATTAATACTTTTGTGACATGAAATTTTATTATTATTTTATTAATATATAATTAAAATATTTTTTTGAAAGTTAGAGTGATTAAATTTGGAGTAATTTGAAAGTTAAGTAATTAAATTAAAAAAGTAAACTTTGGTGACTAGAATAGAAGATAGTTGGCTGATGAATAATCTACCCATAAAATAGTTCCATGTTGTAACTGTAACACCTCAATTTAGGGGCTAAATTTTAGAATTATAAAGTGGTGGATTTAATTGGTAATTTGGGAAGAAAATTGAGGATTAAATTGAAAATTTTCAAAGTTGACAGACTCTTTTATAAAGTGTAGAAAATTCAGTAGTTAAACTCATAGTTTAACCATTTTTATTTTAGAGACAATTATAAGTCTCTTCCCCGTGTATTTCGCATATTATTTTCCCGTTTCCCCCCCCCTTTAACCCTCCTTTCAACTCTGATCTACTTACCGTCCGACCTCCGTTCGACGAACTAAAATAACCATCGTGTTCGTGGTCGATCGATGAACAAATCCCCTTAAACCTCTCATCGTGAATCGTCGTTGTTTGTCGTTAATTTCAGTTTGAAGTATCGTCGGTTTTAACTCAATTCCGTTGGTTTTCCGTCGATTCACGTCGATCCGGCCATCCGTTTTCGACACCTCCCACACCATTGAGTTCCTTGCATCGTTCCGAGTCCACCGGTGTTCTCCGTTTCTTTCTCCGTCGTCGCCGGCACGTGGAGGGTGAGAAGTTAAAGTTTTCGATGTTTCGGAATCGAGCTCTCCGCCGTTCAAAATTGTGAACCGAGCTCGGTAAGTTTTCAAATGCCTTAAATAATAATTATGAATTTTTATGGAAATTTTCCGACACCGTATCACTGTTCATGCGCCGCACGCGCCGCCACTGCGCGCGTAGGGGTGTTAATTTTGTAATTAATTTATGTTAGGGTGATATTTTTGTAAAATTCGGTGTTATTTTTATAAATATTTATAGAAGGTTTACTAATTTTGTAATTAATTTCTGTTAGGGTGATATTTGTGTAAACGATCGACTGTGGACCGTTGACCGATGACCGGCGTTGAACGACCTTTGACTGGGTATACCTATCCTAGCGTTTTTCGACATTCTGAGTCCGATTCTGCAGTCTGATTTTCAAAATTCGGACCCGAAGGGCCTCGAAATTGCCAGTCAAACCCGTTGACTTTGACTTTGACCGAAAAGTTAAAATTTTTGAAAAGTCATATTTTATGTTTTCGACGTCCCAAATATGTTTTTAGGGCCCGTTTCACCAAACTCGAACCTGGTAAGCTATTTTTGACTGATTTATCACCCGATTCGATCTGTTTTTCAGAATTAAACTCCGTTTTTTATGTAATTTCTGTTGATATGGATCCGAGGAAATATTGGAAGTTGAATTAAAGATCAAAGGCGTTCGAATGGAATTTATATGGTCGATCTGTATAGCACGAAAATCGAGATAATATTTTACTACCTCTTTATGCTTTATGGAACATGAATATTGGTAAATGCATGATTAAGATAATGTTGGTCCTCGTTTGTGTAGTTATTAATTTATACACTCGATCTGAATACGGTAAAGTTTTGTAATTGATTATGGTTCAGATGACTTTTATAAGAAATTGAGGGATTATTTAGAATTAAATTACAAGTTAGCTCAGTGTAAAGAAATCAACATGAATCTGTAACTTATAATTTATTTCATCAAAGGTTAAATGTTAAGGTACTTGGATGAGAATTATGAAATACTCCGGTAGGGTAAAATTACGAAAATACCCTTTATGTTATAAAAAGACAATATTTTGACTATGGGAAGTTGAAGAGGTTTTTAAGACATATTGACTCTGAAACTACTTATGTGCTATAGAATCTAGTTTGCTTACAAAATATAGATAACGGTTTTCAACCCAAGAGAGTTTTGAGCAAGAATCTAGGAGTATGTTAAGGGAATCATTTCAAGATCAGAGAATGTTCGGAAAGCAATGAATCATATGATCTCTAAATTATATATTTGGTTAGAGTTAATACCAAAATTATCTGGTTAAGAAATTATGAAAACCCTAGAGTAAAATAGTCTGAGTTGACTCTGAATGAGAAAGTACTTTGAGGATTCGTACTTAACTCGTTAAGTATGGATTTAATTGTTAAATATTGTCTTTGTACAGAAAAATTCATGATATTTCGTTTGTAAAATCTAGAAGCTCTTGACCCGAAATATCCGAGTTATAGTAAAAACCTGAAAAACAATTTATCGGGGGTGTTTTTTTGACAGAATTATTCGAAATGACTGAAATAAGTGATAAGTTTGAATTCGATAATAAGATCGGACTAAGGAAATTATCGTAATACACGGATCTATAAAATAACCAGAATACTCTTAGAATGCAAATGACCAAGATATCACCAAGCTCAGGAATGATTGGATATCCTCGAGCTCTGAAATGAAATAACTGAGCACCAAAATGACCAAAATAACCTTATGGCTTAGAATAAGTAAATGTCTTGGATTAATTTAGAATCCAATAACATGGATGTTGTACTGCTCTTAAAGTTATGAACACAGCTTAAGTGGTCACTAATACTAGTGCTATATCTTATCTGAATGATATAAGTATCACTTGAATGTTGGTTTCGTCTTATTAAGTTTGGATTGATGATAATTTTGGAAGTAACCAGGTCAGCTCAACTTTGGATCATATTCGGTACTCAAAGTGGATATTTCGTTAGACAAATCAACCAAGAAACCAAATTGAACTGAACGGAAGTACAATACTTATCCGAATTTAGAAACGTCCGAATTACTATGAAAAACTCTGAATAACTGGGACACTTGACTGCTAAATAAATTAAGTAACCTCAAGGACTGAGGATTAAATAAGTGATTTGAATGAGTTGAAAAACGTTTGAACATACATGATGTAAGGTTCTTATAGGACATACTACAAATCAAGCACGCCAGCATTTCATGATATCGTGGAAGCGTGGAAATAAAATAAGAGCATTGAAATATATGTTTAATTTCCTTAAGACTATTCAGTGATGATTCCGAAGATAATCTATGGATAAGAATTTTTGTATTAAATAGTAAATACCCTGGAAGGATAATGTATTTACCAATCGACAAACATTAATTCTGGGAGATATTCATCTAGAGTTTGATAATAAATCGACATAGACTGTAAATGTCTTGAACCTTCATTCTTCCCTATCAATCAGTTATTGATCTCTTCCAATAGTGATTCTAAATTCCAACACTCTATCATACTGAAGATCTGTGTTTTTATTCTTATAAGATTATCCAGTACCTCTGAATAATATTTGTAAACTCTGGTGTGTTCCCTAATCATATAATATTTATCTGATTTCCGACTTGAATTCTGTTTCTGATACATTACCTGAATTCTGTCTGATTTCTTATATTCTGTTCTGATCTCTGATCTGAATTCTGTTTTGATTATGATATCTCCGTTTACCGGCGAGAAATTTTTTATCTGGGGGTTTATTGTTGGAGGAGATTATCTGTAGACTCATCGGCTTTGTGCTCAGGGTCTAAATGGCATGTGCGTTTGGATGTATGTTTTGGGGACCTACACATTTATGATGTGAACGTGGGGATATATATTTTTTTTTAAGATCTGTATCTTTTTACATGTTTTTGTGGGAACAAACTAGAAAACCTATTCTGATCTCCTGAACCTAACATACCAATATTATTCAATCGAAATGAATACTGTCATAATGTTTCCTGTGGGGATCCGTTAGACTTTAAAATTTAGTTTTGGGGGGAAAACGATGAAATTTGATTTGAAAATATTGATCTTGGAGTTGCCACCAACCTTTAAGTTAGGTAGATTGGAAACCTTAAACTCATTTTAATGAGTTTAGAAAAATCATTAAAAGACAATAAAATGGTCTGCGTTTTAACCAAAGATTTATTTTTAAGAGTTCGGGAATCGTTACGTGTGGGGAAGGGTGAGCACCCCACAACGCCCAATTTTGGTACCTAAATGATTATACAATGTTTAATATTAGGAATTACAAACTTCAAAATGTATTTAAATTATGATCTTTTATTCATTCGAATTATTTAAAATGTGAACAATCTGTGAAAACGCACATCCATTATAGTTAGAGACTTTTCATAGATTCCCCTTATAAAAACGTTATTTCACAATTTTTTGAAAAAGTAAGATAAAATAAAACAAAATGAAAAAAATGAAAAGAGTTAAAATAATCAAAATAAATAACGTGGAACAAAAAGAATTATCGAATACAAACTAACATTAATACGAAAAATCCTCGAAAGATACATTCACTTTAGTTGGAGATGTCTTCATAGATTTCTCTCACAATTAACATTTTTCATTTACATATTTAAAAGACAATGATGATTTATAAAAGAGGGTGTTAAAATTATTTATAAGGGATCACATGCAAACTTTCTAAACTATCCATCAAGATTAAAAACATCATACTACCAGAGTGTAAATCATAGACTGAAACAAAAAATATAAATATACGCAAGCAAGATCAATGACTAAAATAAAGAAATAATAAGTTAAATGCCATACGATACTGAAAACTAACTGTTAGAAATAAAAGATGACTGAAATAAAATGCTCGAAAGTTAAAGGATAGAAAAATAAAGTACTTGAAATTAAAGTGCTGAA